GACCTCAGGTGATCTGCCCGCCTCGGCCTCCCACAGTGCTGGGATCACAGGAGTGAGACGCCAGCGCCCGGCACCATCCTGGTTAACCACTGCAGCGCCTGCCTCTCCCAAGCCCTGAGGTTGTCCCCACTCTCTACTTCCCCAGCCTCCAGACAACACGCTGGTTTAGGACACCCATTTGAGAGGCGAGAAAATGGAGGCCTGAAGACCTGACGTGGAGAGAGAGTCGCTCAGCCAGGTCCTCTCTGCCTTCCAGGGACACAGAAATCTGGACACAACAGGCCGTCAGAAGCTCCAGGGAGACTCCCTGTGAAGGCAGCTGGGGCAGGACCCTGGAGCAGCGCACTCCCCTGCAGCTAAGCCCCACACATGCTCCTGCAAGGGTATCCTCACCCACAAAGCAGGGCCCAGAGGGGCTCCCTCAAATGCGCCTCAGGGAGCCCTGGGAAGCATCTGGATACACGCGGTGCATTTTCCTTGAGCATCAGTTTTAATCAAAGGACCAAGGGGAAAAAGTTAAATAATCTGGAAAGAAATGGAAAATATCTATTTCCTTTTTCTTTTTTTATGAGACAGAGTCTCGCACTGTCGCCCAGGCTGCAGGGCAATGGCACAATCTCAGCTCACTGCAACCTCCGCCTCAGCGGTTCAAGTAACTCTTATGCCTCAGCCTCCCAAGTAGCTGGGATTACAGGTGCTCGCCACCACGCCCGGCTAATTTTTTGTATCTTTAGTAGAGATGGAGTTTCACCTCATTCACCAGGCTGGTCTGGAACTCCTGACTTCGTGATCTGCCTGCCTCTGCCTTCCAAAGTGCTGGAATTACAGGCGAAAGCCACCGCGCAGGCTGGAAAACATCTTATTTTCTATCCCCATGTTAATTTCACGTAGATTTGAAGGGTAGTCACTAGCAGGCTCCAAATGGCTCCAACTTACAGCAGCTGCCAGCGCCCACGTGGGAGGCGCACCTCAGTGCCCTGGGAGGTGGCCCAGCACAGTGCGTGTGGGAGGAGGGTGGGGACGTGGGGGACACTGCAGCTACAGCATAGCTGGCTTTGAAGCCTGGCTCCCCAATCACTAGCCATGAGACCTTAACCCTCTTTGTCTGCTTCCTCATCTGTGAAAGGGGCAGTAACATGAGTCCCTACATCATGACGCGAGCAAGGAGTCAGGCAGCTAACCACGCAGGGAGGGCTTCATGGCCATGCGGTGACCACCCATGGGGAAGAACCGCCAATGGCTCCTTGGCAAATGAGGAGGCTGAGTGCCCCAGAGGGAGAGTGACCTGCCCCAAAACCAGATCTCCTGACTCCTTCACCCTCTCTTGCTCACTCTCATGTGGCCTGTGCCTCAGTTTCCCTATCAGTGAAATGAAGGTAAAATCAGGGAATGGGATGGGTTTTTTTTTTTTTCTTTTTACTTTTTAAAGAGATGGGGTTTCGGCCAGGCGCGGTGGCTCAAGCCTGTAATCCCAGCACTTTGGGAGGCCGAGGCGGGTGGATCACGAGGTCAAGAGATC